TGGATTTGGGCATAAAATGGTAAGATATAGGGCTTGCTTTTTCGTTGTTTTTAAAAGAGCTGGGCAGATGGGATCATTGAGCTGTGTAAGATATTTCTTCCCTCACTTCCCCCACCCATTTCTCTATTGGGCAAGTGTCATTGGAACACAAAAGCAAAGCAGGATGTGTTTTATCCATAGATACTTCAAGCCATAGTTTGCTCTGTTCTCTTACACCAACAATAAAATTGGATTTACACTAGAGCATCATCCTGTAAAAGGGGTGGGTGAAATGCAAACTTCTGCCAATGTTGCTTTACGTGCACTTAGACCGCTGCAGCTGATTTTGTTCAGTGGATGACACCTATAGGTGTCATTATCAAATTAAGTGATATGGTGACTAATTGATTATTTCTTTCATGGGGATAGATCTGAACTTTAATATTTCTTTGCAAAGGCTGGATCCTTTGAAAATGAGAAACAGGTGTAGTGCCTTTATTATATTAGTCATATGTCTAGACCTGTATTCACACATAGCCAAAGCTTTAGTTCTGTACAAGGTAAAAAAACAAGACATCCCTAAAGGTGTATAAAACTGTCTAATGAATGGCCAGGAAATACACTAAGAGCTCTGAGATAACAGAAGAGCGAGATTTATAAATCATTAATGAATATATCAGTCAGGCTGCATGTGTTAGGATGTATCACTATTAGTGTTAGAGAAACTTGTTAGTAGTGGAAAGCTCAATTTACGTGTAATGTATTCCAATATTTTCAGTTTTCCTATCTGGAAAAAAGTCAGTCCCGGCTATGCATAGCTATTTATAGTTTTAGTAAGTTGTGGTTTGATTCTATTGTTTGTAGTTCTGCTTCTTAATGTTCCAATATGCGTTCATTTAAAGCAGGTCCAGTTGCTGTAAAAAGTTTTACTTTGTTAAGTTTTTGCCAAGAACTTGAGTAAATCTAAAATGCAAATACAACCAGAATAGCTAATCCAGGAGAAAAAAAAAAAGTTAACTTTACAAAACTAGAAGCTTCTGAGAAACTCTTATTTCCTGGCCTATCACCTCTTAAAACTCTCCTACTGCCGTAGTTGATGACTGCTCTATGAGGGATTATTACTCAAGTGCTGTGAAATGAATAGCTGCCTTGCACAAGAGGAAGTTGTTTAAGGGAAGAGGTTTTGAAGGCTGCATTACCTTGTTTCTTTGTAAATCAGTGATTACTGGGGAATGTAAAATGGCCTTTTCTTCTATTCTTGACATTTCTTCTATTCAAGTTGAGATACTTGGGCCGTGCCTGCAGCTGCTGTGTAGATGTTCTTTAAGAAGTGTTTTGGGGGGTTCTGCCTACACATCTGGTAAGGTGGTTAATTTTTAGGGCTTGGCTGGCTGGTTTTGGCATTTAGCAATGTCTCACTAGGATCGCACATTTCAGGAATGTGAGGTGTGAGCTAGGAATGGTATGTCTTCGCTTAAAGCTGTCTAGAACTAAGCGAATAGCTAATAAGGTCAGTGTTTGGAGGGGAGGGGATTGGTGGGGTTTTGTGGGTTTTTCCTTGAGCTTGCTAAATTTCACAAGATGCAACTTGTGATAAAATGGACTTTTAGTACATTGTGACTTTATTTCCTTTCTTAAAACAAAAGCAAATCAAAACCAGAACTTGTTCTGCATCAAAGCAGATGTCAAGGGTCTTTTTTCAGAAACAGAAAATAGTGATGCCAGAGATGCTAACCAGAGTGATATTGATAAAGCATAAAGGTTGTCACCTCTTTAACCACCAATTATCTAAAAGGTAGCTATATAGTCTTATCCACTAATATCAGATCCTTTTATGAACAAGGGGAACGACAGGGGATCATTCAGCTTGCTTCACTTAAATTTCTGTCATAGAATGGGAAGTTTCTGTTGTCCTGTTGACTGTAGACTTGGACAATCAGATGAGTCTAAATTTCTGGTTTCTGAAGCCTGGGGTTTTGCTGGATGCAAAATGGGAGCAAATTAATATGTTTTAGCGACCTCCCAATACAGAAGAACTAATACTAAATTTTCCCTTCCATCAACTATCTAACCTTGTCTGGAAGTTTGAGGAGAAAAACTCAAACCCTCTGTTTGAATTTGGATTTGGATTGATTTTGTTTGGATTTGCTTAAATCCAAACTTAAGGAGGGGAAAGAAGTATTTGTTCTGAAGTTGCTGGAGTTAGGGCTAAAAAACATAAATAATAAATACCTCTGACAAAAATTGGCAGCCATATGAATTTTAGGCATTCACAGCCTTTGCTCAAGTATGTTTCCAATGGAGAACGTAATCTTGTGCCTCAGCAGATTGTAATTATGAACAGGTTACATGGAAACAAAATGCAGCAAAGACACAACGTTGTTGACTTGTGGTCCTGAAATTAAGAGTAAAAATAATGACCTAGAATGTTGTTCCAAGCTGGCTGTGCCAACCTACCCCAGCATGTCTTGTTCTTTCTCTGATGTGCCACAGTTTTCCATTTAGCCATCCCTTCTGCACTTAACTATCTTAACAAACTGCTTGAGACTAACCTTAAGGCCTCTTCAGGAGCTTTAGGTAATAAATGAAAAGTTTTCCCATTTTTCTAGCTGTGAGTGCAGCTGTGAGTGAAGAGATGGAATTTCAGCAGCCTGAAACAGCTTACACCCTGGCTCTCCAAAACATTTTTCCTTCTTTTGCTTTGCAGTAATTGAGTAGAGTTGGCTTTAGACAGAATTTTGAAACAGCTGGAGTCATTGCGTGATGCTGTGCTTGCACGGCACCAAGCCAGCTTGGGGAGAGGGTGGATGACTTTGCCATACCTGACGGATGTACAGTTAGTATTCATTTTAATGATACGAGAGATTTGAGAGTCTGTGGTAATAATAAGCACAGTGGATCTTCTCTTCCTGTCCAGACGCTAATAAGACCTGCAAAATAAATTTCCTCTGATAGAAGACTGCATGGCAGTGTCATAAATTACCCTAGAAAAGAAAACAAACCCAAAGTGGAAGTCCACGTACGGACACATTCTGCACTGCTGTTGCCTTGTGGATGGCTATCTTGGCTGTCTTTTAGCTACAGAGCCTGGAGATGTCTCAAACTACACGTACACTCAAGAGGATGGCCTTAGGTGTGACAATACTAGACTGACTGGCTTGATTCATATTGCATTTCCACTAGCCAGAAAGAAGTGTATGCATGTGCAAGTGGGTGGGAAAAAAGGTATTGTCTTTATAAAACTGAAATGGCCAGAGAGGCTCTCCTGCTTTTAATATATTGTTATTTAATCATACTTGTTTGAATTCCTCCATAATGAAATGCTTAATACAAAAAAAAAAATAGTATTTTTCATTTCTCCCTGTTGGTTTTCCACCTTTATCTTTTGGGTGGGTATGAAAAGCACTCCTGTGTTACATATTTATAAATTCTAAAAAGTACATTCTTCTCTGTTTAATAGGATTTTCTGATAGCGTGTCTCTGAACTATTTTGATTTATTTTACGTAATAAAAAGGAAAAGGATAAAAAGTTCTCTTCTGTTTACTTTTCTCCTTTTCATACCACTTCATGGAGATCACTTATTATTCTGTTTGGTACATGAAGAACCGAAGGGTAGAAGTTACAGCTGTGCCCCAAGGAACTTGTAATCTAATTAAAGCATATGAAACTGCATTCTCAGATCTCAGTGGAGCTGTTCCACCTTTTTTGACTATATATTTGTGTGCAGTCAGCTGAGCACCCGAGTAGCAAATTAGAAGCTGTAGTGGATTTGATAGTCGGTTACAATTCTCCCAACAAACTACCTTCCTGCTGTCAACAGACCTCTTCTCCTGTAGAAAAGTCTGTTTTTAGAATCGCAGTAAGTAACGTTTTCAAGAAGGACCTACATCCCATGAGGTGACAGCGGAAGTAAATGCTTGCATCCTTCCTTTAGGAGCCAGTTAGGAACCAATGAAAATTGTCTGCACAGCCAGCTTCCAGCAAGTTGAGATTATAAATAAGATTTTTACTAAACACCACCATTGAAAAATAGAGACTGATGATAAAGGAGGTTATTTAGGATGTTCCTGAACTGCTTGGATTCTTTCTGGGGCAGGGTATCTGGCGTACTGAGAGTTGGCATCAGCCCCAGTCTACTGGTAGTTCATGAGTGGCTTTGATTTAAGCCTTTAAGCCCAGTTCTTTGTTCTGGCATTTTTACCAGCACCTCATGCAAAGGCATCTACCTTCTACACATGACAACAGTACATGACAATGCCCAAACGCATCACACTGTGCAAATAGTATTCAGGCATATCTGTCTTAAATGCGTAGAAATTCATCTAATTAAAATTTTTATATACATACGTGCTGCTTATTGGAATTCATAGTGTTATGCGAGCTGCATCAGTCTGCCAGAGTTGGAAACTGCGGCATCAAGTACTTAATGAACAGATCCACAAGTAATCTCTAGAAAGTGCTTAGAATTAAGACCAAATCTGAGGAGCTTTGTACTTCTTATGACATTTTTCCCCCTTTGGCTTTCATATTATGGAAGCCACATGAAATCAGAAAGGAGTCTTAAATTCATTCTTTGAAGGTATTATAAAACACTGCAGAGCAGTGCACTTGCCTTTTTTTTCAGAAGGAGAATGTCTGGAATTTATTTGCTTAGAAAAATAAGAGTTGGGATTTGGCATCTCTGCTCTATGCAGTAAATCGTCATTACTAGGCAAAGTGTTTAGTCTCTTAATAGTACTACTCAAATCCTTGCTTCTCAATGGAAAACTTATGAGAAGCTCTACAAATCTGGTGGAATAGAATCAAAACTGTAGGTTCAGGGAGTATAAATCAAATAACATCCTGTTGATATGCAAATAACGATGTTACTGACTTATTCTCAGTAAGCATTACAATCCTGAAAATAGGACTTGTGTTGCAACGATACTTTGCGTTTTCCCTTTTATCCTCCTCCTGTTTCCCTCTAACAGAGATTGTTTGGAATTCTCCTAACGTACTGTCCTTGTTTCGTATTTTGCAGGATTATGACTTGAGCCAGCTCCAGCAGCCTGACACTGTGGAACCAGATGCCATCAAACCTGTTGGAATCAGACGTCTTGATGAAAGGCCAATCCATGCAGAACCTCAGTATCCAGTCAGATCAGCTGCTCCTCATCCTGGGGACATTGGGGACTTCATTAATGAGGTAAAGAAGCGAAAAGGAGTTTCCTCCCAAGATCTGATAAGCTTTTATATTTTATTTATTGTACTCTGCAGGAGTGGCTGTTATGTTTGAACATAATAACTTTTAAAAACTTACTTAGACAATTAAAATTGTCTTCCTAGATAGAAGTAAATATGTTCTTTTAAAGTGCGGATAAATTTAATTAACTCATTCAAACAGGGAAGATTTATCAATTAAGTTCTGTACATTTGTATTAATTACATTCATAATGCGTTATCAGCTGCAACCACAGTATCTCCAAGCAGGATTATTCTATGGGTTCCAAGTAATAAATAGTCTAACAATATTATAGTTTAGCCTAAATTCATTTATTAATTCACAGTAATTTAATAATGGAAAGAAGTTCATTTTCATTTTCCTTGTACATTACCCTCCGAGTCCAGATAATAGTGGAAATTCAGTACCTTAATATGACCAAAGGAATTCCATCAAATGCGATTAGTGAGCAGGGCAGCTAAATTAAATGTTATGTAAGTGCTTTTAATACTTGTCTTGTCATAGAGCTTTAAAAGTCTTTGCATTATCTTTGATTCTTCAATCTAATGAAGATAAATGTAAGTAAGATTCAGACTATGCCACATTGCTCACACTTTTGAAAGAAATGCTCCTACAAATATTTGTTTCAATATTTCTGTCACTGGTCAGTCTTAAATCATTGGGTTTGTGGTACTTACGATAGTTTTCCTGTGCTTGCTGATTATAGGAAAACAAATACTAATCCAAAATTTACCACTTAAAAATAAGCTATTTTCTGAAGATGAATAGTAACAGTTAATTACTTTCTCTAATTTTCTCATATCTTCCTTGGCAACTAGAGCTTGACAAGTATGGCAGAACTGTTTTTGCAAACTTGTTTATTCTTGTTTGCTTTAAAGAAATGTCAGGCTAATGTACTAAAGTCTTTTGTGTTAGCAAGCTGCGGAAAATTGAGTTTGCTCCTTTTAAGGTAAACAGCAATACAACTGTAAAAAAACCTACGGGGAGCTGACTAGCAGGAAACATACGAATATTCTCATAAAGCATTGAATTTTAAGAGAGTTCAGATTTGGGGAAGAGCTGTACTAGAAAGAGATGTCACAACAAAGAGGATTTTTGCATGCCTTGCACTTGTAAATATTACAATTATAATCAGTTTCTGGAAAATAGTGGAAATGTGGGACAAGAAAAGGTCCACGTTGTTGGCCAGGGCAGCGTGCACACAAGAACTTCCTTGTGCTTCCTTGTCATCTTCCAAACAATCAGTTTCCCATTCTATTCTCACACAGCTGTGACCAGACACTACCCACCTGGCAGGCTGTCAGGAAGAGCCCATCATCCTCAATACCCTGATTTTTCATGTCCTCAAAGTAGCTATCAAGCTCTCTTACAAAGCCGGGGCAAAGAATGAGTTTGATTCTCCTGGAAAGCCAGAAAGGGCCCAGAGTTTGTCCAGCATCCTGCAGTTTTTTAAATTATTTAGCTAGCTGTTCTTGCAATACTGGTTTTCAGTAGGTTATCACTCTTGAAGGTTATAGCATCCGTGTGTAGGAACAGTACCTGCTGTCATGATTTAACCCAATATGTTTATATCACACTAGAGATGAGCATAGAGTCATTCTTCTTACTGCTGTCTGTTGTAGTAGATGTACCTCCCTTTGTGCTTCCCCTTGCCATGCACCAAGAGAGAAAGCTTCTCCTAGCTATTCTTACACAGTAAAATAATGTCAGTAGTGTTATTGACTCTGAAATAAATTAACCTTGGAAATCATATATGAAATTAAAAAAAACGTGGCAATTTTCCTGTCTGCAAGTTAGCTCAGAATTAATTATATCCTCTGATTGAAAGGAATTATATGAAGCAGTTCCTATGTTTCAAGCATTATATATTTAGCTTCTTCTTTTCATAAGGTATTTCTTCTTTAGGATTTCACAGCAATGTATCATTTACTACACCCAACCCTCTCTTCAGCAGACAGTAGCCACTGTCTGTTTTGTCAGAAGTCTGAGCAAAATTGAGATTTTATTTCTCCACAACAGTTTCATCTTAATTTGTGTTTTATGTTAAAATTTCCCATGGCAAATGTGATTATAAACAGTCTGTTGGGAGGGAAAAAAAATATCAGTCTTTTCACTCTAATCCCCACTATTGCAGTTAAATTTCCAAATAATCAGCGTCTAGAGCATAAACATTCAGGCTGCATAGGCTTTCAGACTCTCTTCAGAGAATTCCACCTGCAGTGCTGGCAAGATTACACCCAAACAAATTGGTGAGTTCCTCTCAGTTCTACTTGGAGAAAATGGAAGAAATATCTCGGGTAAAACCTGTACCAGACACTTCTTGGGGCAGTTCATACAGAAGATATGCTGAGCTGTGAAAACAACAGAGCAAGATAAGAAAGGGCAGAGTTCATGTCTCTCTGCATCCAGCTTCAACATCATTAGGCAAAGAACTTTCTTTCACGGTATAATGACAAGTCATGCCATAACTTTTCCCCTGGGCATCCCTAACACAAGCCACCTGTAAAACCAGCCCCGTCTCCAGCTGAGCAGGGAGAGGCTGCCTTTGTCTTGTCAGTACCTCGGTAGCAAAGTCTGCATTAGCCCATCAGTTTGAAAAGACACGACGCTTCTGGAGGTCATTCTGATCTTTTGGAGGCCTTGGCCCTATCCCAGAGATGCTGATCAGCGTGATCCTTTGGGATGCTGGCCCATGTGCAGGGATTAATTTAGTCTGTTGAATGCTCACCAGCACCTCGTGCACAGAGCCAGCTTTGTTCAGATTAGCCTCTGAATTGCTCCAGCTTCTGACAAAAAAGAACTGTAGGTCACTGGTTTTAGATATCGGAGGATTTGGCTGCCATCACCAGACAAGCATGGGGTGTTTTTTTTCTTTTTACTTTTATTACAGAGCCATGGAAACAAAAAGTGGAAAAGACCTAGTGGGCCATTCTGTTTCTTTCCTTTTGGCAGTATATTATACTTTGGTATATTATTTTCTAGCTGCCATCCGTTGTATTAAATCAACAAAACTCAATGAGACATACATAAGTAGGAGTATTTTGTAGTGTTCTAATGACTTCTCAGTTGAAAAACAAGTTACAAGTATGATAGAAACTTCAAGTATTTTTGTAACACTTACAAAATTAAGATAACACCTACAGAGCTATGAACTTTCTAAAATAAGAAGGTTCCAGAGGTGCCTTATAATCAAAATATGTTTTGCAGGCGTAAGCTAAATGACCTTGGGGACTTTCTTGTTTTGTCTCTTTCAATGGATAGAAGAATCTCTAATTTAAGGGGTGAAAGGAAAACCCTCCTTTTCTTCCAGTCTAGTGTACAAACAAGTCAGTGAAATAAGTCATGTGTTATTAAGAATCCTCTGTAGACCTTGTTTTCCAATTTAAGCCTTTTAAAACATAACCTGCAGAGTGTGGAGCATAATTAACACTTAGAATAGTCAGGATTTGTGGGACAGTATAAATTAGGCCTGTTTGAAGTAGCTTTGTTAATCCTGTTTTTAAGAACCACCTATGCTGTCCCTAGAAATTTTAAACAAATTACATTGTGGTGGAGAGTTTGTGGTTTAGAATATATTTCTAATCAATAGAAAACATAGCCTGAGGTAAACTAAATTTAAATTACAAACTAAAGGTCTCATCCCATGGGGACATGGGAGACCCTCAGTTCATTCTTAGTAAATGGTTATTGATACAGTGCACCTCCAAGCAGCATGGAGTCCCTCAATGTTTTCTGTTTTTTCTTGTCAAGTTAAAAAAAGGTTCCAGATTTAGACAATTTTTTATATTTCCCTGGAGGACTTTGTTCTTCCTTTCCTTCTCATAAAAAGTTTGCTGAATCTGATTAAGTAGTAGGATTAATGAAAATTCATGCCTTAGATTTTTTTAACGTTTCATGTTAGTTCAAGATTTTGGGGGTTTTGCTTTCCCTTGATTTGAGACAGAATGAGAATGCTACACATTCTAAGGAAGGTATGACTTAAGGTTACCATTGTTCCTCGGCCAAGGCACTGTAGTTTCTCCTCTTCTACTCCTTACCTGCTCCTTAGTGTGAAAGTTGCCATGACTTATATAAAAAAAGGAAGAGGAAAAACGTGAGATGCCCACTCAGTCTGCCTAGGTCTCAGGCAGACCTTTGTAAGTGCCATGGCTCTTCTGTAGGTACTTTTTGTGCATTGGGCAAATGCAAGGAAATGTGACTTCATTCGTTATCGCCCACCAGGATCACCTGGTCCCAGGTGTGTGCCCCAGCAATTATGTTGTTGAGTAAACTTCTCTGTTTTGTAAAAACTTTGAGTTTTCAGATCAAGAAACTGTAAACCAAGTAACTGTAACAACTCTGCTCCTCTGAGATTCTTGAACACATTTGGGGAAAACTGAGAGATCTCTTCAGAAGCAGTTGACAATACCGTGGCAGCAAGATCAGTAGAAGCACTTCTTGGCAGCCATTTGTTGCCTTGTTCGTTGGGCCAATACAGCACGTCGTGGTACCAGCCACTGGAAGGGATGACATAATAAGCAAAAAAAAAGGGAAATACTGAAACCAAAGGGAGTTTCAGGAGCCGGTTTCACTGCCAAAGCTTACAGTCTGTAACTCCAGCTGCAGACATGCTGTAGAACCCAACAGCAAAGCGGAGAAGTGCGCTGGGTAGGTGAATTTTTAACCAGAAGATAGAGGCAAATGTCAGTGTAACTTGGCCTCTGCAGTTGAATCAACACCTCCATGCCGTGGCCCGTAGCTACGTTCTCTGAATGAAATGGATTACACAATAAGCACAACCTTTGAAATAAAGAATTCGTTAATGAGATGCTGTAGTGTAAGTCAGTAGCTCAAAACCAGTTTTCTTTTTAAATGCTATCATGATACCAGCAGAAAAAATGACAAAAAAAAAGTGAAAATCCATCTTTCCCTTTGGAAAAAAAGATGGAAAGAGGCTGCCTGCCACCTTGCCATGGATGGCTGATTGGTATCAGAATTTCTGCAGTGATGTAGGAAAATGTTTTGTTTGCTGGTTTTTAATAAATTGGTACCCCATGGTTGGCTGGCTGTTACCAGGCAGAACTGCAGGGAAATAGCATTTCTTCTCCAAGCTGGCTTTCTAAATGACTTTTACACTCTGATACCTGGGATTCATACCTCAGCACTCCTTAAGCTTGAGTGGTATTTATTCTCCTTCCCTGTCACCTGTGTTTGAAAAGCAGGGGTGTCTGTCACTCCAAGCAGGCTTAAGGGAAGATGTAAATACTATAAGGCCTAAGAAGTAAAGTTGCATTTCTGCTTCAGCAGCATAAATTGAGAGAAAGCCTTAGAACTATTTCCAGCTTTGAAACTGGATAAGGGAAATCTTCCAACATTTGCTGTTGCCTTTTCTGAATCTCAAATCTTTTGTCCTTATTACGGCCATCAGGATGGAAAACTCCAAAGAGAAAGATAACAAGCATCACAAATTATTCTTATCGGATAATTCAAAATTGTGCTTCTAATGCAGGCTATTAATAACCTGCTTGATGTTGTTGTACTACATGAAATGATCATGGACTTAAAAGTCCAAAATGTGTTCTTGATTAGATGTCATTAGTTTGATAAATATATTGGGCCTTTCCACCACTTATTTGCAAAATTATTTTAGGTACATTTTACACAGTTCTGAATGATTTTAGGTAGGCAATAAAGAACCAGGATTCTTTCTACCTTATCATTGCCATATGCTTTAATTAATGGGTTTAGCTATATATGTATTTCTAGAAAAAAAATCAACATCTGTTTCCATTATGTCCCATTTAGACTAAACACAGTTGAGAGTAAAACATACTTTTCTAAAAACAGAATATGCTAAATAATTCGAAGGAGGTACACTCAATCCTTCAAGGAATTGAGAGTACACAAAAGCCATTCTTTAAATAAATAAACATTAAAAATTAAAAGTAAACCCAGCAAAATAGCACTGGCTAAAATTAACAGTGAGCAATTTAAAATTTTCAGTTCAGCCTTGTAGAATTCTGGAAGATGTATTATCCCTTGTCAGTGGCTGCCAGAGTAGAACCTATTCAAAGTGGAAGATCTTGAAAAGGCTTTGCTAATCCCGTGGATGAAACCACGAGGTTGAAAAATCCAAAACACAACAGGGCTTTTTTAAGTTCAGGCTTCAGCCTTTTTTATTCAACCTGTAAATCTTCCGAGGATAAGCTCAGAGCAATCATATCCTAAAATTAAACTTACTGTTTTGGTTTGGACTTCTGTAAGAAAACAGGGAGGGTCGAGACTCCTCTCTGGAAGAAATGTGGTTCTTTCCCCACTTTCCTGTTGTTCAATTTGTGGTAGTTTTAGTTTGGGTTTTTCAGCTCTAGAGAGTAGAAATTTAATTTTTACTGAAGACCCAATATTTGTCTGTTGGTAACTTGAATACTGTGAAATGAGGAAACAAAAACATTTATAATCTTGCATTTAGCTTTGATGTCATTGTGTGTGTGTGTTTTCTGAAGAGCAGGTGGAATTCTTATGGGTTGTTATGGCAAAGCACATAAGGCTTAAGCCAACATCGTATCTTTTTCTGACAGCAGCCTGTAGAGGTACATGAATTTTACAGAACTAAGTAAATATGGCTTTTGGCAGAGGCGGATGGACTGCAGGCCAGCAATGCCAGTGTGGATGTGATTGGCCGTGCGAGATGGCTGTTAAAGTGAATCTTTGCAAACATGCCTGTTTCTCCTTCCCCATCTGTCTGTTTAACCAGTCCCATATTGCTCATGCTGCACGTTGTGAGCTGTGAAGCTCTGAAACTCTGTATTTATTAGCATCGGTCCTGGTGCTGTGATGTTCTCTGAAGGTTTTGTTAGAGCTGTATTTGCAGCTACGTTGAGAGTGTGCGGTGCTGTAATGCAGAAACCTGGCCATTCTAAAAGGAGTTGAATTAAGTTCTTGCTGGAGTTAGAAAAACATGAATCCTGTTTTGAATTGGACTGCAGAAGAACAACAACTTGGTTTTCTCAGGTGGTCGTTGGTAACTAACAGCACTGCAATATTCCAGTTTTGTCTCTCTCTCTCAGATACAGAACTTTATCTTTATTTTTCCCTCCCCTTCTTGCAGGGACTTAAAGCAGCCGACAACGACCCCACAGCCCCACCATATGACTCCCTCTTAGTCTTTGACTATGAAGGAAGTGGCTCCACTGCTGGATCCTTGAGCTCTCTTAACTCCTCAAGTAGCGGTGGTGAGCAAGACTATGACTACCTAAATGACTGGGGCCCACGTTTCAAGAAACTTGCTGATATGTACGGTGGAGGTGATGACTGAACTTCGAAGTGAACTTTGTTTTTGGACAAGTACAAACATTTCAACTGATATTCCCCAAAAGCATACAGAAGCTAGGCTTTAACTTTGTAGTCTACTAGCACAAGTGCTTGCTGAAGGCTTTGGCTTAGGCTGCAAACCAATTTGGGCTCCGTGGAATATCAGTGATCCAATGCTGTTTGGAAAAAAATATTGAGCTCAGTTACACTTGAATTTTACAGTACAGAAGCACTGGGATTTTATGTGCCTTTTTGTACCTTTTTCAGATCGGAATTAGTTTTATGTTTAAGGCTTTAATGGTACTGATTTATGAAATGATGCATTAAAGAGACAAAATATGTTGGGGTGGGGAGGAGTAAGGTGAAACACAATATGCTTCAACATGCTTTTGTTACATCGCATTGCTTTTATTAAAATAAGGAGATTAAAAAAAATAAACAAAAAATCCCTCATGGAACAATTTTATTATCTGGGAGAGAAGACCATGAGGTGGAACAGTGTACATTACTTCTAGTTTTAGATGTTAGGGGATTTTTTTCACTAAAATTCTAAAACTTATGCAGCTGGTTGCAAATAAAGGGAGTTTTCATATCACCAGTTTGTAGCAGAATTGATTTTTTTTTTCTTATGCTAGAATGTTAGACACATTTTGGTCTTAATTCATGTACACTTTTCTTTTTTCTTTTTTTTTAATTTCTAGTATTTTTTTCCCACTTCACTGTAAAAAAATGGTATGTGTACATAATGTTTTATTGGCATAGTCTGTGGAGAAGTGCAGAAACTTCAGAACACGTGTATGTATTATTTGGACTATGGATTCAGGTTTTTGCATGTTTATATCTTTCGTTATGGATAAAGTATTTACAAAACAGGTTGCAAACAAGTGACATTGATTCAATTGTTGAACTGTAGTTAGAGTACTCAATATTTTTTTTATTTTTATTTTTATTATTTTTTTTTTGTTTGGGGAGGGAGAAAAGTTCTTAGCACAAAAGTTTTACATAATTTGTACCAAAAAAAAGGGGGGGGGAGGGGAGTTCGCCTGATACTGGTGGCACGAGTAAATATACGGTATGTTTTGGGGGTGGGGAGGGAAGGGGGAAGGAGCTTTCAAACTGGAGAGACTTCTGAGAACAGCTTTGCCTCTGTATTGTGTACCAGAATATGAATGATACACCTCTGACCCCAACGTTCTGAATAAAATGCTAATTTTGGATCTGGTGCTTGGTTTGGCATTTTTTTGTCCTACCTGGGCAGCCCTGACTTTAGTAAATAAAAAGTACACAAAGTGCATTTGAGTTTTGGGGGAAGTTACCTGCAGTTCTCCAGCGTTCCAGACTGCTGGACTAAAAATAAGCTGCGTAGAGAAGAAAGTTTGGCACAACTTGGGAAGGCAGGTTCCCAGGTGAAAGCCAAATGATCTGTGCCGTTTCTGGGAATTCCAAATTTTCAGTTCCACGTCGATGGCTAGCCCTTTGGTTTAATGTACATTATCTAAATAGCAGAGCTTGCATCGTTTTGGCTCATTTCTAGACTGACAGTTTAATGATCGTGTGATTATGCTGCGGGTTGAATAAATAAAATAAATTGCAGATCCTGGCAGTCGTCTGCCACCTGGACTTTCTTATGCTGGAGTAAAGACAAGCCCGTGTTAACTTCAGTGCGAGTCAGATCGTGTCCTTCAAGGAGGTCCTCATGGTCACGGAGCTCTACCAAAAAGTCCCATTAGGAGATTAGTTATTACTTAAAGGTGTTTCTAACCTGTTACAATGATTTATTTGCAAACAAAGCAAACCTAGTGGGTGCAGCAGTTCTGCCGCCTTTCACTCGCCACAGCCTGCTCAGGTTTAATGTCTCATTTACACTTATTAGGGACCTAATTGTGAACAGTGTGAAGCTCCAATTCCACAATTCCACGGTCTGTTGAGAGAATTGGGGCAGCGGGAGGGGATCCGTGTGCTGGGACTGGGGTAGCATCCTTCTGTGGTGGGAAGGCTGCAGGTGGGCAGGGGGTTGGTCGGTGGGTGATGCTCTTCAGCGTGGTGCCACTTCAGCTCTTCCTCAGCACTCCAGCCGTAACTTACAGAAGTGGGCTCTGACTTCCAAGAAAATGGGACTTTTCTTCATCTGACTTCCAAATTCTGAAATCTTAATGCTGCCTGTGAGGATGTCTCCTCTTCACTGGGCTTTTCATGGACATGTCTCCTTCCTTACTCTCATTCCCGATGGCGCTTATGAAAGCTGAGAGGTAGCAATCCTCTCAGACTGGGCTATAACATTTCAGTCTCTGCGTACCTGGCTATTATTTATCTCAAGTATTCATAACTATAGCTTGGTTCCGTAACAAAGCCTTGATTTTTCAGTAGTGTCAAAATTATCACTGACCTTCTTTAAGTTATTTCCATATTAATTAGCAGTGTTGGGGGGAAAAAAGATGTAGAGCAGGACATAAAAATGAAAATCTGCCTATGCATAGTTAAGTCAGGAAAACTTTTATAAAGGGCAAGATCTAAAGTGTAAATGCATGTTAAATAAGCAAAAGGCCACTTCTAGCACATTGATTTTCTGTCTTCCATAATTTATGCAAAAAAATATTTTAAGCATAATAATTCTATTATCGTTACTTGGAACCAAGAAACTGGAAATGCTAGAAGAATTTTATTTAATTGCCATTGAATGGTGAAAGAGATACAGAGGGGGAAGATTTGTGAAAGATTTCCAGTTTTGGCTATAGTACATTTTTTTTGTTCAAATGGAGCAGAGGTCGTCTTTTATGAGCACTCGGCTCTTTTGCCCAGCAATAGGAGTTTTATCTTGATCAGACAATCTTCCAGCTCTATCTACAGCTGCTTTGAAATTGTAGCAACGGTTCTCAAACCTAGTGTTAGGTCAGCTGAACAGAACAAAGGGTAAATCATTTTTATGCATCTCAAATACTTTTACAAGAAAAAAAAAACCAGTGATGTTTGAACTGATCCTCTTTCATCAAGTTTCAGGTTGGTTCTTATTCTAGAAATGTGCAAGCAGGTTTTGTACCCATAATAGATGCTTAAATCCCCGTCAGAGGACTGCACAGAGAGGAAGGGGATGGCTGAACTTTAGACCCTACAGTTGTCTTGGGAAGTTCTGGCAGCCTGATTTGGAAATGGGATTTGGCAGTGATCTGTATTATCTCTGCCTTGTAGAAGCTGTATCCAAGGGAAATTACTGGCAAGAAGCAAGGCGTTAGGAACTTTCCCTTCTCAGCCTTTCTACAATTTGTATTTTCTCTCAATGATAGGATAGTCCTTCTGAACTTCAGGGGTGGAAAAACTGCAGAAGGGTGTTTTGGAGGAAGAAAGATCTCAAGTGGATACACAGGGCCTTAGTGTGGATGGATCTAGCTCCCTGTGTTCCCTCTCACATTGCCAAGAATTGGTGAAGGATGTGAATACCCATCCCGTAACAGTCTAAAACATAGTTATGCTCCCTCCGAGTAGCTGGACCAAGCGACATTTGAGTTGTCACTTAGTGATTTTACTGGTGGTGACGTGCTCTTGGCTGTGCTGTAGCACTCAGAATCTGGCTGTAAAGCTCACTGATCTTTCTGCATACAAAAAACTCCCATACATCAGTTTGATAGGGCAGACAAAGAGCACTGACTTCTTCCCCGTACTCCGAGTTATTCTGTCTTGCTTGACTCTGCTTTATAAGATGTTTGTAAATTCATGTAACTTTTAAATGGAAGATGTTTATCCCTGTACTGCACTGCTTTGTAGACAGAAGATTTTTCTCAGTTGTGAACAAAAATATTTTGAACAGCCATTTATTTTCTTCTGGTGCCAAAGTAGTGAAGTCACTCTGATGCTAAAAGCCACACAAAGTTTGTTTCTTGGGAGCTCTGTTTCTTGGTACATAGTATTTTTTGGAACTCTACCAGACTCTGTACCCTGAAGAACATTTATATCTACTCCACCATGGTCCCATTCACCGTAACACACAAGGGAAAATGTTTTCTGGCAGGCGATGAGACACACGTCCCCATAGGGTCTCTCAGACCTGTCTGTTGTCATCCAAGATGTCTCGGGTAAGGCACTGCCAATTGTTACCTTAACACAACTACTCCCACCTTCCGAAGGAGCCTTCCTTCTGGCAGGAGTAGTGTGATTTTGGCAGATTTAGCTTTCTGGATCGGGCATGTGAAAGCAAAGTCCCTGCCTTTACCTCAGTAAATATTAATTATTGAAATAAAATACAGAAAAGTCACTCAAATGCCTAATCCACAATGGAATATTTTATACACCATTTTCCTCATTTAGCCAGAGATGATCTAGATTTGTATGATGTCCTTACTTTTTTCATTTCTGTCACATTTCTTTACATAAGCTTTACTTTTTACTCTTACTTTAGGCAAGGATCTTTTCAAGGAGTTTCTCTAAAGCATAGGGTGGTTGTCCTTGACTTAATATATGTCACAGAAATAATGAGGAAGCTTCAGGAATAATGAAAAATTTTCCCCTTAGCAACAAAACCCAGCTGGGAAATAGAAGAGGAGAAGACTGGCTAAGGAAAAAAAGGCTTAAGCGCTTCCCACAGGGGCTCAAAGTGCCTTCCATCGTACAGATGGGGAAAGGTGGTTGAGTCACCATCCCTGGATATGTTTAAGGGACGTTTAGATGGGGTACTGAGGGATATGGTGTAAGGGAGGACTTTGTAGAGTAGGGTAGATGGTTGGACTCGATGATCCCAAGGGTCTCTTCCAATGTGAATGATTCTGTGATCCTATGATTCTATGAAAGAGCATCCTATTTGTTAGGGACCCTCTGATCAATCAAGGCACTCTCCAGCCAACCTGCTGCTTCTGACCTGGCCAACCAGCTTTTTTGGTCTAATGGAGGACTTGGAGATGGCTATTCTCTGGAGTTCCCAGTGTCATGCTGCTGCCTTTCCTGCTGGGGTACATGCCACCACCGAGCTTTCCCAGTCTTCAGTTTACCTAGATAGTTGAGCAGTGCCAAATCACAGATCAGGCTCTACGTATTCTTCAGTTTACATCCTCAAAGAATCAAGGCCTCAGTCTTGTTTTGGTTTGGTTGTTTTTGCTGTAGACTTCAGGATGCATTCTCAACATAGCAATAACTGGGAAGACTTGTCTTCATTTTCAGAGTTTAGTGTCCCCAACAGTATTTTTCTCCTGCAACCTCTGTGGATTTCTAGAACATTGAAAAAGGCAGCAATTGCCAGTCATACAGTAGCTACTTAGATTTCATAGTTCTATGCTCTTTCGATTTTTCTGTCACAGAGGAGCATACACTAATGTGGTGATAATGTGAAGTTGCAACCCCCATAGAGCTTTTTTGAAAGATCAGTCAGGGTGAGGTGGTGGGCACGTGCTCTCTGAACTGCTCCCCGTGTAGCTCTGGCTGTAGAGAATGCATCTGTGTGTGTGTAATGGAACCGCTGGCGCTCAGAGGATTTAAGTGTAGTCACAGCTCTCTTACCCTTCTCCCCAGAGCCCACAAAAGCCACCCACGTATGACTCCTGAAACACAAACCTGGAGCTCGTGCACACCCACATCTCACCTCAGTCCTCCCCACCATTCCCTTGTCACCTTTGCAACCGGGCCCTACCTGGATGAGACGGTCATTACCTTCTCACTGCTTTCATCTTTCTTCTTGTCCCCTCCCCTCATGAAAGACTCATTTTAACAAAGTTTTTAGGACCATTTGTCTCTTATTAATGAAGGGCGTGCTCTCAGGTTTACGAATGACTGTTGTTTGCTGCATTTCCCTCTCCTAGTATATACTTTTATAATCCTTTTAATTTGCATTAACAAATCTTACTTTCCTAGTTCTCCTGGCAAGTCTGAATGTTTCTGGTTTCCTCTATCCCTTTTTCAGTTTGTGTAACCAACTCTTTTCCTGTTGTTTTCAGACTTTTGAGCAACCTCCTGTAACTGAACTAAATGGTCAACCTCTTCTTGAAGCGGCAGATTTATTTTTTTTTTCCTTTTAGTGGGGAATGTTCTTGTTGACTTCATATTTTCCTGTGTGGCTCCCAGAAAAAAAAATGATTTTGCATCATTCAAAATGGCTTATATTTACTCCTGTTTCTTAAAATATGTTTCTTTTGAGAGGACTTTTTTTTTTTTTTTTTAACCCTTATGCATTTGTAAACCTCACGGTGGAAAGCATTTATGTAATTTCGTGAAAACACCTTCAGGTGGTTCACCCGCT